TCCTTGTCTAACCTGTTGCCTGCTGTGTGCTTTCTTTTCCCTCCTTACTCCCCACACACAATGTGTTTAACACCTTTTAACTTTTAAGTGGCTCAGTAGTCACACCCACTTAGGTGAGATCACTAAAGTGTGGAAGGTGGGAGTTTCATAAGCCCTGGTTGGATCAGGATTATAGACTGCAAACTCTCCCAAATCCTGGGATTGCTTCCATTTATGTGTGTTACTCTGCACTTTGGTCCTAATCACATTTCCAGCTGATTGTATAATATAAATAACTTTCCTTCCTATGCATTACATACAAAGAACACACTGGAGTACTGCCACAAATGCTGTCTGAAAGAGATATCATGTTGCAGATTTATTTTTGAAGTGTGCTGGAGAACTTTTTAAAGATTGTTTCAGTTTTTGAGATGGTTGTCAATGGATTCTGCAGTTTCTCCAGCAATCTCAGAGCTGCCGTAGTGAATGATAGTATAGAAGATGGGCAAGAGAAGAGAGAATATAGATTCTGACAGGGAGATTGAGTAAGAGCGTATGTGCACGTGGATAGTATACAAAAATGAGTGTAATGAGGAGGTTTGCCTCAGTCATTGTTAGCTACGAACTCTTGCATAAAGTTTCTGAAGGTAAAAAAAACAACAAAACAAAAACGGGAGAAACAAACAACTAACCCTGAGGACAGTAGGAAAATGAAGGAGAGGATCTCTGTGCAAGAACATGCAGCACATTCTTGCTGAGGAGTTCTATCCTGACCGTGGCTATGGACTTCTGCCACAAAGCTACTGCTAATACCTGCAGTGTTGCTATAGCAGCAGTTCCCATTCAACTTGGAGACAAAACCACACTTGTAATAATTGTTTTTTCTTACTATGAATTAAAGAGGAGCATGATTGATCATGACCCATACAAGAGTTCGGATATGGCATTGCTTCATTTCATATGATGGCTGTACTGCTTCCTTTTATTTGAAGGGAAGAGGAAAGGTTATGCTTTAATAATGGAACAGCATTCTCCTAGTGTGCCAAAAGTGCACGCAAGCCTGCACCTCTAAACTTCCTTATGGGGAGGAAAAATGCTGTTGCTTTGGATTAGGTTTATTTAAACCTCAGGAGAACAGACCTGCTTCCTTTTTCATGCTTTCAAGAGAAGCTTTGTTTTGTTTTCCTTGCTTGCCTGCTTTCCACAACAAAATGCCAGTTTTTAGTTCAGAAGCTTCCTTCAGACAAGGAAATAACAACTACTTTTCTATTTTTGTCACTACTGGTGCCTGTAAAATGAAAAAAACACAGTACATTAAGACAGCAAGTGGCAGGTTGGCACCATTGGCAAATGTCATGTATTGGAAACAAGCATCAGAAAACCTGAATTTGTCCCACTATAGATCAAACAAGAGATCACATCCTTCTCTGGTTATCCTCTGGAAATACAAAGTATATAGCACCCCCAAATACAAGGGATTTTTACCTCATTCTTGCATGTCACCTTTCTTGCTAAGACTTCCAGATATTTTGGCTTTAGTTTTCTTTATTTTGGTGCTTTCTGGTTTTGCCTTCTTTCCTGAGAACTGCTATTGCTTTGTCTTCCCCATTCATATTCTTTTTTCTTTCTTTTTTGCTGCATGGAGACTCTCTGCTGTACAAGTGTAAGTATTTTTTTAGCTCTGCTGTTTCTGGCCTATTTGTTTATGTTTTTGTGCTCCATTTGCCTCTGTGCTGCCTTGTGAGTCTCCTGGGAGGCTGTAGTGCCATCCATCTGCACCTACAAATGAAATAGGCAGCAGCTCAGGGATGAGATTGGGTTTACAAAAAGGTTCAGCTAATGTAGTATCTGAACTTAAAGGATCCCTTGGCTTTAAGACCAAACTAAAGCCGAGTGCTGATGTTAGAGGTCTAAGCACAAATGTTACTGCTCAGAAGGAAATTCTGTTGATTTGGTTTTATATTCAAGCATCATACAGCTTATGAAAGAATAGCCCTTAATGCATTCTTGAAGCTGAAAACCCATATGTTGTTTTGTAGGAAGGAGCGTTGAAGGGAGGCTGGTTGGGGAGCTGAATTTCAAGAGGGAGCGGCAAGTCGTTCATTAGTTCGTTTGAAATCTTTTGAAAGAAAAGTGACAGGAGGGTCACAGAGCATCCCTGTATCTAATAGGATTGAATATAAATTACTTTGGAGTAGGAGGAGAAAAACATGGAAATCAGCATATCCTTCAGCATTGAGAGTAGTTTCAATTATCTGTATAAAAAAGGAAAGTAGAGTATCGGAGACCCTGTTGCTAAAAATATGTTGTTTTCTAGCATTCAAAAACAGTGATTTCAGTTGTTTTTATTTCCCAAGGTACTAGTGTTCTTCCACAGTTGCTAATATCATTTCTGAACACTCCAGAGAACTCAGATAGTTTTGTGAGGAAGGAAGTCAGAAGGGAGGAATCTGGAAAACTGATCACAGGAAGAGATCCTGGGAGTTTAAAGTTAGCATGGACACATCATAGTGTCTAAGTAAGCCCTTGTTTGGGAGCATGGTAGAGATTTGCTGGTTCCCATCTACTTCAGAAGGGTATGTTTGTGAGCCATCTTCCAGAGATCTCAGTGGCACAGGTGCACACAGACTTCCAAGAGGTCCTCCCAAGATCCAGAGATGCATATTTTTGTATGTTCTGCCAAGCAGCCCACAGCGTGCTCATGGCAAAACAGGCAAAACAAGGAAGAAGTTCAGGAGGTGATCTGCTAGAATGGGAGGCCCCTGGAAGATGCAGAAGAAGCGAAGGAGGGGAGATTGATACTAACAGCCATTCCTCTCTAAAGACCACGGGTGAAACATAAGACAGGAGAGCCACGTTGTGCTTGTGGGGCCAGAGGTGTGGGAAGGCAAAAGGTGCATGTCTGCCAAAGCTGAACTGCTTCCATGAACTATGGGAAATGGGGCTCAGGCTGGGGAGTTGAGATATCTCCTCTAGTAATGACATGTGCACTGCTGCTGTAGCATACTGTGTGGTGGCTGAGATTTTAAGCAGAGATTAAGCCTAATATTTTGTAAAAAGAGCACACTGGCCTAGTTAAATTAATGCTTTGACCCATTTTGCTCTGTGTGTGATCTAGAAAGTTCACTTGGCAAGAAGCCTTTCATCTGTGCATTCCCAAAACAGACTAGAAAACAGAAGGTTTTCAAATAGAAGTGTACATAGAGCTGTTATTCATGCTGTTAAAACAAATGGGAGGCATCTCTATCCCTCTGCCTTTATCCCCAGCAACCAAGCTGCTGATGGATCATGCCAAGCTGACAGTAAGTTATAGCCGTAATTCAGAGACTGGCTTATGGTCATCAGCACAAGCTCTGCAGGGTCATCTGGGGGCACTTTCTTGTCTGGGAAGGAAGATGAAATCACCCCGTTCCTGGCTGTCAGAGAGGCGTTAGGAGCGTTTAAGTCCTTTCACAGGAACCTCAAAACTTGCCCCGTGCTGTTTTACGTCAGTGCCCTGGGCTGATGCAGCTTTCAGCTTGTCTGTGTTCATGCAGGAGCACTCTGAACACTGGCTGTGGCTGTGCAGTTACTCAGAGATCTCCCATCAGCCTTGTTTTCTTTCCTCCTTTCTGATCTTCTTTAGCGCATGAGTTGCTACATTATCCTACTAGATGTAGTTTCCAGTCACACCGCCTAAAAAAAATCGGGAAGTAGGCCAAAATGCCTGCAAATATACCTTAGCCAGGGGAAAAAAAACCCAGGACTACTGACAGTGACTTATAATTGCTGTCCCCCAAATACTGCACTGCTTCAACTCTTCCTTATGGCCTCTTGCCACCCGGTAATTTATCGATAACTCTGAAAGTAAGGTCCCAGCTTTTGATGCAGCAAACTTTTGCTTGCTCATTAGTTTCAGGGTAAGTCCTCTCAGGTGGTATTTTCTGGCTGGTCTTAAAACTATTGTGTCATTTACTGATGTTTCTCAAATGTGTAAGTGGAAACCTGCAACAGCTGAAGATATCTTTTTTTTTTTCCCCAGAAATGTGCTTTGCAATAAAACCAGAGCTTTGTTGCCCAGGTAGTGCTGTCATTGCCTGCTCTGTAGTCTGCAAGTCCTTTTCTGGTCTTGAGAAGATGGGTAATTGCTGTCCTGTTCCAAAAATCTGTCATAATCCTGAGCATGATAATAGTGGCATAATAATCCTCCTGACTACTTTGGGAATATGAATTCAGTACATCTAAATCTGTGCACTGGACTTTCCATACATAAAAACTAGGAAATGTTTACCTTAAACAGTTAATGATTTGTCTGAAAGGTCAATGTCAGCTATGTCTTTTCTGGCTCATATAAAATGGATACTACTAAACTTTATTAACAATTTTGTTAATGAGTTGCAAGCCATAACAGCTTCCTGAATGATACTCCAGATTTTGAAGCCACTAGGCTTCAAGACTAGCAAGTAAATGGAAGTATATGGATATGACTAAAGTCAGCATGTACGACTCAACTACAAAAGGAGCCCATGTTTGCAGAACCTGAGTTAGTTTAATTTAAGTCTTAAGAAAACCTGCAGGTCATCTTTTAAACAAGAAGTCTTACAATCCAGAGCTATGTTGAGAGGTCTGGAATTGGTGACGTGTGGATTTCCGGTAGCAAAACTGTCTTTCTTGCCATGCAAACTTTCAGAAGAGTTCAGTCAAGGAAAGAAGGGCAACTTTCTTCCAAAAATAACAAACTTGGATCTTAAGTCTGGGTATTTGTGTTCTTAAGGCAACATACTCCTTTCTTTCTGTGAATGTGAAGATGAGAAGACTAATAAATTCAGTAACTGTGTTGAATGTATGATGAAGTAACTTTTCACCTACTCTCAGCATATCTAAAATCCAGACAAGTTGTGTGTTTGCTGCTGATGCTGACATGGTGTTTTTGTTTTTTTGAAGAAAGGCTGTGTGCTCCAAGACTGATTTTCCTAGGGAAGATCAGTGAGCTATGTGATGGTGTCCGGAGGCATAGATTCACAGTAGTATGTCACTAACACATGTACCGAGAAGGTGTATTTTGTATCAAAAATAAAAGCCAGAACAAGAGGGAGACTATTCCTGGTATTGTCATTAACTATGCAGTTCTGGACGAAGTAATTAAGTTTCTCATGCCTCGTGATCTCAAATGCAGAGGTGAGGTTTTAATAGTTCCTTTGCTTTTCGGTTGGGGATCAAAGAGTTAATGCTTGGGCAGTTTCAATAATCATCCTGTGTACAGCCTACAGTTTTAATGGGAAGAATAAACTATCTCCCTGATTCTATTCAAAGTCAGTTGAACAAAACGTCAATTTAGAAAAAGTTGTGAATGTTTGAGAAAGAGGGGAACTAAAACATTCCCTTCTGGTGTTAAACCAAGTCACATCTTGAAATGGTACACAGGCTTGAAGAATTGATTTGTTGTCATTCCTTCTGTCCCCTGGAGTAATTTTTGTTTTCTTTTATGTTGATAGATGACTCCTAAATCAAAAAGGAAAAGCATCCACAGTAGAATGCTCCGACCAGTGTCCAGAGCTTTTGGTAAGTGAGAATTTCTTAAAACCTTTTTGTTTCTTTGCCTGCCTGAGGTGGTTCTAGATAGTTGTTGATTGAAAAGCACAGGTGATTCTCCCTCCCTCTGGGTTGCATTTGAGGCCCACACTGACTGCTTTGTTTTGTGACTCTGCTAGTGTGTTTGATAGTAAATAGTTGCTCACAGTGCTCTGTCTGCTCACAGACATATTGTGGCTGAGTTCTCTAAATGTGCTTATAGTTGTTTATCATAAAAGAGAGGAATGGCATTGTCTTTTGTTTTAAATATCATGTTAAATCTAATTAGAAAGTTTTGATTTCTCTTAGAAATGGAATTTGATCTAGATAAAGCACTGGAAGAAGTACCTATCCATATAGAAGACCCACCATTTCCTTCCAGCAGGCCAGACAAACGGACTTCTGGATTCATTTCAGAGCTGCCATCAGAAGAAGGGAGGAAATTGGAACATTTTACAAAATTAAGGCCCAAAAGGAATAAAAAGCAGCAGCCCAGCCAAGCAGCAGTGAGTCTACATGAAAATATTGCTGGCAGTGTCATGTGTTGATTGCTTTTTTGCCACAAGTCAGGTCTTGCAATGCAATGAGGAAAGCTGTTAACGTTTTAAAAGCCATAAGTAACTTCAATTTTTCTTCTGGTATTCCTGTCTTTCAGTGTGCTGTCTCTGTTACAAGCTTTTTGTCTTGTTTGACACAGCCTAAATTCAGGATATGTTCTGTCCTTTTTTTTATTTTGCTCTTGTTTTTTTCCATGGAAGCAGCTTCTGGAGATACTTGGAGCTTTCACAGGAAATGCACAAAATATCATGAGACTTTTCAATTATGTTCCAAGGGTTTGTTAAGTCTTAATCCTTTTTACTCTGCCTGCATTAAGATGTGGTAACTTGGCATGAATTCATATTTCTATCAGCTGTCAGAGGAGCTACTCTGTGGCACCCAGCTTCCCACAGCTCCTTAGCTGAAGATGGTGGTTGGGCCAGCAAATCTGCATAGTCACAGATCTGTTTTTCATGCTGGAGCCTGCCTTAGAAAAGGGAAACAGAAGAACACTGTCTGTTTACGAAAGGCATCGGTGTGAGCTCAATATATGTGCGTGGAGTTCCCACAGTTCCATTTCTTTGGCATACCACATCAATAAAGATTTGTTTCTGTTACGTTGTGTCCTCGGGGTATGTAAGGACAGATCTGGAGGAGTTACAGAGTTATCTCACAGCAGCAGAGCAGAGCTGATATGATAAGTAACCCTTATCAAGGGGCAGCCATTGCTTCTCAGAGTTAGGCTGCCTAGTAATGAATGCCTGTGGTCTCTTCTGCTTTCTGAGGATTGTCAACGGAGAGGATCCTTGAAAATTTCCCCAATATTGGGAAAGATCATATCAGTCAGTAGGGTGCTTTTTGCACCACTTGGAAACAGAGAAACCTTCAAACAGAGGGGATATCCAAGCCAATTTTCCATTCCCTTGTCCTTTACAGGGAAGGTTAGAGGTAGCAGAAGGATGGACTGGTCTCCATGTAGTGAAAACACATCTGTGTTTACTTCTTCCAGTTCCAATGCTGCAGAACACACATGTTTTCCCAGTTGCTTCCAAATGTACTCAGCTCATCCTGTGCCATCAGCACAGGGATGTGGAAGGAGTGGGAGCACAGGAGGGGCAAGTGCTTCTCTACCAGGCACGGAAGTAGGACACAAAATATCTTGTTTAACAGAAACAAAAAGTTTACTTCTTGTAGGGGCAAAGCGTTACTTCCCATTCTAGTGTAATGCTGTGGGAATGCTCATCCATACTGAATTAATTAGGAAATTCGGAGTTTATTTAGTTGCAGAAGCTGAAAGGAGCTTTTTTACTTACACCCATTTGTACCTGTCCTTTTTTTTAATAGACCATTTAGTTCCTTACTGGTTCTGACCTCATAACGAGTCCAAACAAATTTTTGAAAGACTTAGGATGTTTGTTTTGATGCTTCTGAAAATCAAAAAGCAAAATTTTGAAGGCGAGGGTCATGGGTGGCCTCTGGCATTGCTTGCAGAGTTCATTTGCTGCTGGTTTTGCCACTTAGAGAATGCAGAAAGCAGTGGTTAGGAAAAGCACTTGAAATGTGAGTGGAAAATTCTTGAACTTTTCTGCCACTTGAAACAGGTTTGTCGGGTTGTTTGCTGTTCCCATTGTTTCTATTTAGTAATTAAGGGGTCTCAGGTGATTTGTGGTTGTACTTCTCTGGTTTTGCTGGAAAACAGATTTGTAAGCTGAAAAATGTAAGAAAAAAAGGAGAAAATTGAGGAAAAAAAGGAGCAATGTAAAGTTTAAACTAGGGGTGGATGGGTGGGAAGAAGAAAGATTGATAGTTTTGTCAGTTTTTGCTGGAATGACTGTTCAGAAGGGGGAAAAGAAAGAGGGGGGGAAAAAAGAAAGCTTTATCATCACTCACCCCAGGTAGCTTTGAAGCAGTACGATGGAACCGTTGTTTATCCTTTAGATTTTTGTGTGATCTTAACCTCATGGGTTCTTTCCTGATATGTGAAGATTTGGTGCAGCAAAGAGGTGAATCTCTAATGCATGAGATTGTGATTCATCTTATTTGTTTCTGCTTCCAAGCCAGTTTTTTTCCTTAATAAAGAAACATGGAAGACTCACGTTTGAACTTAAGCTAAAAAGAATAAAAATAAAACTAAAACACTGACAAATGAAATCTTCACTAAAAGACATTACAATAAACAGCTATAAGAAAATCCTGTGCCTTGGGGACCTTCTTAGGCCCTCAACATTTGTATATATCTTTAGTTAATTTTTAGGAACTGCAAACTGTTTTTTATTTTGAGGTAGATAATTGGATTCTAATATTAATTCCCCTGCAGGAGATGCTCTTGCTTTCGATACTTACATGTTTGTTTCTACTTTCTGGAGGCCTCCAGTATCAATATTGAGTGGTTTCTCATTTCTGTTTGAATGTGTCAGCCACTTTTGGTTTGCATGTTTCAGTTGAGATGTCAGTGATAACAGGTTTTTGACTGAGACAGACACTGGTGGTGACCAATCCAGATGTTAATATGTGCATTGTTGCCTAGTATCAGATGTTCCAGCTAAACAAGTTCTCTACAGAAAATACTGAAGGTGGCAGAGTTGGAAATCTGATAAATCATTGTGCTTCTTAGAATAAAACTGGTATTTATAGAACAGTTTGCCAGTTTGACTGGCAACAAATTAATCATTACCAGATGAGTATTAGATTGATACAGTAGATATCAATAAAATATTAGCTATTAACTTTGATAACAAAATAAATACTAGGCTTCTAACAAGGTTCAACCATGGAAAGTAAAAAGTTTCATGGTTGTGTCAAAGCATTAGTTCATATGCCATCAGTTGTCCTGATTTAATGAGACTGGTTTTGATGCTAACAGCAGCTTTTAAGAGTATTTATATTTTCTTTTTAGAGGCATAGAAAAGAGTTTGTATTCCACATCAAAAGGGAAGTTTGGAGTACACTGAGTAACTAGGAGATTCCTTGATTTGACTTGTTTCAAATTACAAACCCTGCTATTTTGTGGCAAACTGATTCCTGGTCCTTAGTACTACCAAGAATGCAACTGGGTTGAGTCTTGTGGAGTCCTCTGTAGTCACCCAAAAGGTTTCCATATGGCATTTAAATTGAAGGAAATCTCTTTACTGGTAATAGAGCCTTTCCACATCAAAGCCACATACGGGAGCTAGAGCACATGAGAAATCCTCCAAGGAGACTCCTTGTTTAATCTTCAGGAGGCTGCAGAGTCATCAGCTAATCTTCACAGGGCCTTTGTGCTTGGCAGGTATTTCTAAGCCAGCCTGGTTTATATGCCTCAGGTCACCCATATTCAAAATGTGGGCATTGAAACCAAAGGCAGGGAGCAGGTTTGCCATTTTCAGACAAATCTGTGTTCAGTTCTTAAAATGAAACACCTGCTTCTGTGTTTAGAGTCTCTGCTTTTGGATTGAATGATTTATAAAAGGTTCTCTTAGCATGCTGGAGCTCTGTTTCTGTATCTCTCAGTCCAAAATCCAAGATATGTATTTTTCTCTGAATAGGGAAACAGCTGGCTGTTGAAAATACTTACTCTTCAGGTCACACCTCCTCAGGATTTAATTTTTCCTTAACTGCTCTTTTTTTTTCTTTTCTAACTGATCTAGTGTTCTGTCCTCACAAGGCCAAGACATTTGATTTCTGATCTCATGCATTGCAGCATCCAGTTTGTCACTGGTGTTCTGGGTTACATTGTGTTTTATGTAACGTGTCAACTGGCCTGACTAAAGGGGGAATTCAGGTGGTGATTCTGTTGTCTGCATTGAGCTTTGGTCGGCACACACAATTTTTATAATATCTTAACTCTTAATTATTATCATTGGAACAAATATGCTTAGATTATTATATAGAGAGCATTTTTTCTTCCATCAGGTGTCTGCTGGAGTACCTCCAGAAGGGGATCAGAATGGCCTCATGGGGAGAGTGGATGAAGGTGTGGATGAATTTTTCACTAAGAAAGTGACAAAAATGGATTCAAAGTAAGTTCAGTTCTTTTTTTAAGAAGTTACTTAAAAAATTTCAAGTCCATTTTGATATCAGGGCAAGTAGCTCTTTTGAGCTGTGTTTGACTTCTGTTCCCAATATCCAGGGTTGCTGTTGTCAAAATCAGAAAATGCCTTAGTAGTCAAGACACTGTGAATTCAATTATCTGTCCTTAAAAATGGCTACTTTGAAATAAATTGCTTTAATATACCATGTGGGGGGGATTAATGACTAATGCATATTTTTGTAATTCAGTTGCCTTCATTTTACCTTTCAGTGAAGCTCATTAGAGCTGAAGCAGAGCTTTGTATTGGTTGAGAATCTCTCCGGTGCTAGCAGTACGCATGGGTGTCTCTGTCTTGTGAGAACTGCTGTTGGGCACAGTGTTTTCAGAGATGGCAGTAGATTTATGCTGGTTTAGAAATATGTTAAAGATGTGCCTGACCAATTTGTCGTATTCCAGATTTAGGCAATAAATTAATCTGAAAGATATGTCTCCTTCAGCTTTATATAAGGTTTATACAGTTGCTTTGTAGCTGGTTGTATATTTACAGAACTATGCATCTAGATGTTCTTACAATCATACACACACACACACACACACACACACAAATACGTAAATAAATGAGAAAGCAAGGGTGATTTCCAGGCAACTTGGAATGAACCTTTCTGTGCTGTATGTGACATCCATTAAGGAAAATGGTAGGTGCTAACTGGTAGATAGCTGTGGCAGGAAAAGCAAATGTTTTAAAGTCACTGAATTATAAATATCTATAGTGACATGTGAAGCCATGTGTGATATACTACGTGTAGTGGTGAAATTATGGTAGCTTTAAAAAATGGACTAGCTAGATTAAGTTCAGAGTGCTTAGACTACTTCATCCTCCTGTACTTCCCATGGGCACTTGCCAGCTGATCGTTTCAGATGTTCCCATGAACTTGCACCATCCATGTTTGCCTGTCCATGACCATACCCATTGCTAAGGAACTTTGCTGTATTTGTGAACACCAGTGGCTCTCTCTCCAAGTTGGGTACTCTTATGCAGATATGTTATGTACCCAGCTTTCCCCTCAAGTCTGAATACTCTGCTCAGAAGATGCTTGTAGAAAATTTTACTGGCAGATGGGTTGTTTTGGGGTTTGGTTCTTTTTTTTTGGTTTTGCTTTTGTGTTTATTTGTTTGTTGGGGTTTTTTTGAGGACGAGCATTTGCACTATAAAAGTGATCTCTCTATGTTCCTTTCCTTATTGAGAGAAGTTGACTGTGCCAGCTAGTTCCTCTTTCAAGGAAGGCCCTTAAGGAACAAGATTTCCCCAAAGCTGTGTTAATTATGTGCCTAGATCAGTTGTTCTCCTTTTATTAATACGCAGATACAAACCAGAGGTAGTGCACTCTGGAAATGGAGCAGAGTGAAATTGTATGTTGTGGTTGACCCTGTGCCCACCAAAGCTTCTCTATCACTCTCCTCCTTCAGCTGCACAGAGGAGAGAAAACATAGTAAAAGGCTTGTTGGTCAAGATAAGGGCAGGGGAGATATCACTCATCATTTCCCTGTGCCCAGCTTCTCTATCACTCTCCTCCTTCAGCTGCACAGAGGAGAGAAAACATAGTAAAAGGCTTGTTGGTCAAGATAAGGGCAGGGGAGATATCACTCATCATTTTCTCTACCTCCTCCCCACCAGTGGCACAGGAGTGCAGGGAATAAGAGCTGAGATTAGTTCATCACCCATTGTCTCTGCTGCTACTTCCTCCTCAGCAGGAGGACTCCTCACCCTCTTCCCCTGCTCCAACATGAGGTCCTCTCTCCATGGGTCTACAGCTCCTGCCAGGAGCCTTCTCCAGTGTGGGCTTCCCCCAAAGTCTCTTCCTCCTTTGGGCACCCACCTGCTCTGGCATGAGGTCCTCCCTGGGTGCAGGTGGATCTCTGCTCCACCATGAACCTCCATGACTTGCAAGGGGACAGCCTGCCTCACCCTGGTCTTCACCATGGGTTGCAGGAGAATCTCTGCACTGGTGCCTGAAGCACCTCCTCCCCTTCCTTCTTCACTGGCCTTGGTGTCTGCAGAGTTGTTTCTCACATATTCTCATTCCTCTCTCCAGCTGCAGTTGCACAGGTTTTTTTCTTAAGTGTGTTGTCCCAGAGGCACTAACCAGCATCGCTGATGGGCTCAGCCTGAGCCACTGGTGGGGTTGTCTTGGAGCCTGTTGGCATTGGCTCTGTTGGACATGGAGGAAGCTTCTAGCAGCTACTCACGGAAGCCACTCGTGTAGTTCCCCTGTTATCAAAACCTGGCCATGCAAGTACAGTATATATGTGCATAGGCAGCTTGGTTAGAGCTGTCTGGTGTTGGAAACAGCTTGATGCCCAGTGCAGATCAAACAGTTGCCTGTCTTCATTACACCATGCACAAAGCCAGCACAGGAATCCTCAAGATGGTATGAAGATGGTATGATCAATGTTAATTGTCTAGTTTTTAATTTAGAGACACCAGCTAATGATTTGGCCTAAGGCAACATATGGGTCAAAAGATTGGCTCTGCCCAGAAGGATTTGTTTTGTACTATTTAAAAGAGAGGGAGGAAGGGTGAGGAGAAAAGTGTAAAATGTCTGTGTCTTTTATTAGGAGACCATCAACTAAAAGTTCAGACAGCAGTGAGCCCAGTGAAGGAGGTGATGAAAAGAAGAAAAGGGACTCAAGGAAGAGTGGCTTCCTTAACTTAATCAAATCAAGAGGCTCCAAATCTGAACGTCCCCAGACTGTGTCGGTGGCAGAGGAACCCTCCTCGCCCAAGGTTTCTGCAAAAGGTCCAGCTGTAGACACAAGCAAGAAGGAGGTAAAGCCTGCAGAGCAGAACGGTGGTACAGAGCGATCTGAGGAATTAAAGACACCAGACTCACTGGAGGAGGTGCAGCCAGATGATGTGGCAAAAACTGAGAGGGGTGACAGCAAAGGAAGCCCACAAGGAGGCCGGAGATACGGTGTGCAAGTTATGGGCAGTGGACTTCTTGCAGAAATGAAAGCCAAGCAGGAGAAGAGAGCAGCCTCTGCTCAGAAGGTGAAGGCAATTTGATTTCTCTTGAGTTGTTAAAAAAATGAGCAAGTGCTGGGTGTTTTCAGGAGAGGTGGATTGGATCTGCAAAGGGTGGGGGGCTGGGGCTGGACACATCAGTCCTGCTTTCCAACAGGGATTATGGTGTTCCTGCAAGAGAATTGCTTCTGCTGGGATGGTTGAACACATGTATACTCGCCAAGGGGTAGGTTACACACACACATAGAGCAGGAGTAGCACCCTTAAGCCTGTGCTTTCTCTCCTCTTGTGGAGGAGGTGACACCAGCTCTTGTACCTAATATCAGACCATCACAAGCACAGAAGAGGACATGTGATTGTTTGCATGTCTTACAGAATAATTTTGGGACGACTAGTAAGCACAGCTTGGATATCTCCACTTTGTATGATGTGTGGTTTGTTCATAATGCATACTGGAAGTGTACTTGAGAAAAGGTAAAGCTGGGACATATTTCTCACTGTGTGCTCCCTGTGCACCAGGACCTCGGGTATTTGGCAGAGTTAACTACAGTGGTAGCTATCTGTATGCTTCTCTTTCAGAAGGTGATGTAGACAGATGGAGAGATTTTAAATTATATATTCCATGCAGAGAAGTAAATCTGCTTGCAATCACTTTTTTCAACTATTTAGCTTCTTGTTGCACTTCTATATTTTTATATCCTTTTGTACCACACCTAATTATTTTTATGCCTTTGATTTCTGTATTTCAAATACTAACACTGAAAGAAAATAAGCATATGTTAAGAAAGAAAAAATTATTCCCAATTGTCTGTCTGGAATCCCTTCATTCTTTGTAATTTTCTCTTCTGTCAGGTCCTGATGCTGGACAGGAACTCTGCTTCATTTTGCAAACCTGCAGAGTGGAATATCCTTGTATTCCTCCAAGGCATTTTGTGCCGGCCTGTTTTGTCTGATGCCCATTTCCCATTGGTCTTCCCCATTATTCTCCTCTGTGTCTTGCCAGCTGCAGTTGGCATGTTTCACAATTACTGAAAAGTCAGCCCTTTTGCACTCCTCTCTTCCATTCCAATGTGCAGGGCACTCAGATGCTATCTACTCCCCACCATAGTCCCCTGTAATTTGGAAGGTGTTACCTTAAAACAAAGCTCTTCTGCAAGCTTCGTTGTTTACCTTCCTTTAACGGTACTGAATTGTCCTGCTGTAACAAAGCAAGGCACCCAAGGTCCATATTTACCTTTCTTCATGGTCTTATAGTGCTTGCCATGATGTGTGTGCCATTCCAGCAGACACTTGTCATAAGCAGATTCAAATTAATACAGTGGTCTGTGGGTCATTAAAGGGATCCTTAGCATGAAAACAATTTTTGTAATGAAATGACCAATTACCACCTTTGTCACTGATTTTAAGTAATGCCCATGAATAGTCTTATTGATTTCCAAAGCACCGAGTTTTCAAGTGAAATGCCATATGGTTTTAAATAAGAGCATTATGCCCTGCCTGTAACTGATAAAATACCAAGCTATTCTGGATTATATACATTTTTACAACTGCGTGATTATGTATGCTTTGTGCTTTTTGGGTTCTTAACACTTGTCATCTATAGTGAGTAAAATCTGGAAGGACATGACTGAGGTAGAATATTAGAATGTGTAATTTTTTTTTTAATATGGTAAGAGTAAAAGTTCTCTTTGATTGAAGAGTTTTCGTAGCATTGATTGAAAACTTGAATTCCGTGTATCAAAAGGAAAAGTTGTTGTCTTTTTCCAGGTTTTTTCCCCCCACCCTTTGCTCTTTAGTGGCTGGAAAGGTTACTCCTCTTATTTCGGGTTTAATTTTCAAGAAAATAATACTGTTGATCTTATTTTTTGTAAGATTTTTTTAAAAAACCTTATATTTATGGAATGCAAAAGTGTGTGTGTATATATGTGTGTGTGTGTGTATATATATATGTGTGTGTGTATATATATATTATTCAAGGGGGACAAGAAAACTGAATTGAAACAGGAATCTGTACACAGCTGAGCACTGAGTTATCCATTTTAATGTTACTCAGAGGACACAAAATTGAACTGCTGTTCCATAGATTTTTTTCACATATTTCATCCTAGATCACAATATTGAATAATTTAGGTTTGCACTTTTATTCATGATATTCATGAAGGTGAAAATAATACCGTGTCCTGAGGCTTGGGCTACAGAGGACAGCATCCCACCGCTGTTACGTTTTTTAGGATGGGTATGATATCAAGCTCCCTAACATCTTCAAATTTATCAGACTTCCACTATGATAGAAAATTGTATTTCCCTTTAAGGTGCAGATGGCTGCTTATATTCTGAGCTATTTTACATGAAAACAAAGCCAGAAGGAATTTACTATTTCATTCATACCCTACCACAGTCTTGTTACAGATACAAGTGATGAGCAGGTGCACAGTAGAAGGAAAGATGGTAAATGCATTTTTGTTTCCTTTTGCTTAGAATACAACGTGCAAATTGGCACTAATGGTAGAGACAAGTATTTGCGGGTTAGTGTTGCCACGGGGCGCACATAAAAAGATCTTTTAGCTCCATCTAGTGTTACAATCTGGATTCTTAAATACCTGGAGCGAGGCCTATGAGCAAACCATCATCTGTAACCTGTTTATTCACTCACAATGGCACCCAACTGCAGTGCTTCCCAGCCTTGCATGGTTTCCTATTACAGGCAGAGCCTCGTCATTATTTATCTGCATGATAAATAATGATGCCAGGGGACATTTAGGTTAGATATTAGGAAGAGTTTTTTACGGAGAGAGTGATCAGGCATTGGAATGGGCTGCCCAGGGAGGTGGTGGATTTACCATCCTCTGGAGGTTTTTAACTTGAGACTGGATGTGGCACTTAGTGCCATGGTCTAGTAACCATGGTAGGGTTGGACTTGATGATCTTGGAGGTCTTTTCCAACCTAGCTGATTGTATGACTCTATAATAAATTCACCTGCACTGATCTGACTTCTCAGAGTAAATTTTTGCAGTGAGTGTTTAGTGTTGTCTTGGGCCCATAAGCAGTTTGCAATGTGTGTACAGTGGGTAGCCAAACATGCTCACATCTTAATTGCATTTTTAAGTACTACACTAATGGATGTCAGCACTGACTTTTGTACTTGTCTCTGCCCATGGTCAATTTTCCCCAGTAGTCCTATAACTCGAGAGGGAAGAAGGTTACAGTGAAATTAGGTTTCATACTGTCATGCAGCTCTCCGAAGTCATTACTGTAGCTGAGCGTTATGCGTGTTTTCTTCAGTATTTACATAGGAAAAGGAGTGAAAGTTTGTGAGAATTTACATTCCATGAAGAGATTGTTGTAAAAAACCAGGTTTTTTTCCCAAGGTATGGAAGAGAAGTCCAGTAAGTGGAAAGTGAGACAGTCTTACAAAGAAATATGTAACTTCAGGAGGTGGAGAGGTGAGAATTTGACCAAAATGTCAATGACAGTCAAGAAATGGGAATAAAAACTGCCCAGTGGTACAAAGCTTTGATGTTTGTTAGCTTTAGGAGATTATTTTGTTTTGTCCATATGGGCACTGTAGCTTACTATTCTGGCCCTACAAGTACATAATTTCTAGAGTACATCTGGCCGGAAGACTTCATTGTTTGGCTTACACATGGTTTTTAACGTACAGATGATTTTACACTTAAAACCTGTAGAAATATAATCCCTTAGAGTGGACAGTTATAGCTGTATCAGGGTAGTTTTACAGTACAGGGAGTTTAACGATGATTCTAAAAGCATCCTCCTAAATGCAGTGTGCCATTTTAAGCACTCACTTGGACTTAGTGGAGAGGTCAGGAGGTAGCATCACCCTGCCAGATCTTAATCAGGAATGGCAGGCACTCAGCATCTACATCCTCTTCTTTGTTGCATTGAAAAGAGACTTTGTTTTAGGAGCTGTGAGGTTCCATGAGCAAAATGGAGGTATTGGTAAATTTGTAAGGCAAACTACACTGTTTGCCATCATTCCCCAAAATCTTCTCTTGAAGTGCCTGTATTGTATTACCACCACAGGGGAAAGAGACATGGCCAGTGTGGACATTTGAGAGATCATTCCTTTATATGTAAATACTATTTTCACTCTAAATCCATCAATTTTTCTGTAATAAGTATGTACCCCTGCTACTTATAACCATTCTCTCCTTCCTGCATTTCCTGTTGTCCCATGTTTATCTATGTGCTATACTGAGCAGTCTTTCAGATTGTAACCTCCAAAGGGTAGTGATCATGTTTGATGTACACTGCATGGCACATGATGGAAATTTATGAATCATAGAATCATAGAATTTTTAGGGGTTGGAATGGACCTTATAGATCACCTAGTCCCAACCCCCCCCCCCAACAGGGACACCTCCCCACTAGACCAGGTTGCTCAAGTCCTCATCCAGCCTGGCTTTGAACACTGCCAGGGCTGGAGCTTCTACTACTTCCCTGGGCAACCTGTCCCCGTGTCTCACCACCTTCACAGTAAAAAACTTGTTCCTAATATCTAGTCTGATTTTCTCCTCTTTCAATTTGTACCCATTACCCCTTGTCCTGTCACTGCAGCTTCTAACAGTGCTATGGGAATGCTATGGGATAGTCCGATCCCGGCATAAGTCATGCAGAGTTGGTGTTGGAGTAGTAGTAGCAGTGACCTGAACATGTGAACTTGACTAATGTGTGGTTATATAACTGAATGCAGTGGTCATCAGAACAAATCATTTGCTTTAAGTCATTTGCCACACTGTCTTGAAGTAGCAAATCAAGATCAAGATTGAAGCTGCCTGCAGGAATCTCTCCCTACTTTTTCAGTTTCAAAAAAATCGCCCCTTTATCCCTAGGCTTATCTTTGTGAGGCTTTCTAGCTTAGTATATCCCACGCTTCTGTGCCTTTTCTGTATCCTCCCATTTATCCTTCTGCTTAAGCTTTGGTAGCAGGTAAGCCAGTAGAAGGAGGCTGGTTCTTTTACAAGCACTGCATATATAAGCTGCTCCTGGTGAAATCACAGGTTTCAAGCTTACTTTTGCTAGAGCTATGATATGATGTCTCTGCACCTGTTTGGTTTTTTTTTGAGGCCAAGATGTTAGGTAGGAAACCATTTTTGAGAATAGAAGACTTAGCCAAAATATCAGCACATAAACAAGAAGTCCCCTTTCTTTAGAGGTGCCGAGCACCCAGCAGTGCTTGTGATGGGTATCTTTAAGCACTTTTCAGTAAGTAAGGTCGGTTTGGTTTTAGAGGAATCTTGTAAGTACACGAGTATTGCTACTTCTGTAGTTGCAGTTTGATCTAAAATAAGAAGTTACTCTTTTATATAGAAGAGCATAATATCCATTCAGTAGTCATATTCAAAATCCATATTTCCAGAAAAAGGCTCTTTATTTTAAACCTAAAGAAGACATTTTTAGATACGGAGCTATCTTTGGAGAAAAGGCTGTTTCCAGCTAGCACCTTCAGTTTCAACTCCTGTACATTAAGAGACCTGCTGCTTAGGAGGCAGGGTGTCATTGCAGCTTTGATAGGCATGTGGCAGTGTTAGTTACAAATCAGAGTAGTTTTCTTCCCACTTAGCTCTCCAAGACCTGGAACAGAAACAAAGAGAGAGAATCCACCATTTCTTACTATCATTGCTTTCTCTGCCTCATTGGCTTCCAAATTAGAAGGTTTTTTTCCCAGACAGAAATACTGAATTGTATTAATTGCAGATATATTACTAATATGAGAACTTTTTTCACTCTTTCAGAAACTTGGGAATGACATGACTCCCAGAGACTCTCTTGACACAACAATGAGCTCAGAACGACTGGATGGAAGTGGTACAGGTACAGGATGAGTTTCCTAGTATAAACTCTTTCTAGAAAATGCAAAATGGCTAACATCAAAAATCTCACTTCCCTCTTCAGATTGTGTCTACAATTGCTTAAGTAAAATCTGAGTTTACAGTACGTGATTAGAAGCAAGCTCACTTTCTGTGCTATGTTGGACAGCACTTCTCATGAACTCAGTTCTACAGCTGAGTTTATGGCTGAGCTTTTACTCTTGTTGCACAGGAGTACTTGGTGCAGGTGCCAGGAGTGCCTTCAAAAGGATGCTAACTTGTAATGGGATCAACAAAGCTGAAGCTCAACCTCAGAGCCAGCAGAAATGTCTGTGCACGAAGAAGTGCAACTGCTGAATATATCTGAGAACCGACATATGACCAATTTGCAAGGTTTAACGTAGTCTGTGCACATACCAAGTTGAGTAGTCCTGGCTTTGAGCTGTTTCAGCTGACTCATCAATGGCAGCTGGCTCTTCCTAGGGTTTACCAAGTTTGGTTGAAGCCAGGGCTCTCTGCAAAGCTGTGGAGGTCCCTGGACATTACTCACATGCACAAAATGACTCTCCATTGTGTACGAAGCCTTACAGTGCTTACAGCACCAATCCCTTCTGCACCTAGTCTTTCTGTGCCCTTGTCAAGCTGCAGTCCTGGGCCCTGGCATGGCAGTGCCTACTCTGCAGCCATCTCAGGACAAGATGAAATTCCAGTCTCCATGTATACTTTTGGGACTGGCCAGTGAAGGATTCACAAAAGGGATTCAGCTCTGGTGGCTTGTGCGTACCACATAAAAGGAATGGGCTGAACTAGGAAATCCAGGTCTGATTTCTCAGCAGTGGTGGGTAGGTATCCTGCAAGCATGATGAAAAGGATTGCTAAAACATATGGAAAGAAGGCTGGAAAAACAGGCTGAAATCAAAATCCAAGTGTGGCTGTCTGGGTTGAACACTTCAGATAACAATTTTGAATTTTATACCTTTCTAAAGTTATTTTGAAAAGTATATTCAGAGCATGCCAAAGTCCATAAATCAGTGCTTTTAAAGCTTGCTTATCTGCTAAGGAGGACTTTGTGGACTCTGTGTCTCCTGATATCAGCAAGTTGAAGTCAGAGGAGCAAGAATAGTCTGCACTTGGGGCAGTACAGTAGATGGGGTTGCCTGACCCCAACTTTTCTCTGGTCTTTGTATATGACACATTTCACCCCCACCTCATTGCACTGTGCTTGCTCCTTCCTTTTGGCCTCCAGCTGTCAGTTCTTTCTTTACCACTCTTGCTTGAGAGCTCCCCAAGGCTCCTTTGCGTTGTTGCAGCTATAATTTGTCCCTGGTTTGGGCTAATTTATTTTAACTTACTGCCTTCTAATAATATTAGGAGGCCTGAGGTTAGGAAGACGAGAGAGAGAGTTAATGGAAAAATCACTGAATATTGTTACAGGAGAACTGTAGATATTGCTGCAAAAGAAGAATAAGTTTTTGGGGTTTTTTTTATTCCTTGCTTTGTGTCTGGATGTTGTCTGCTTTTTTTTGTATGGACACACGCACAGGTGAAGGTGTCCTGCTGTTTCCCTTGCAGCAAGAAAGTCTATTGCATGCATGCAGACACAAACTCTGCCTGTCACGCACTCACCCAAATATATATGCACCACACAACTCTCTAGTTTGCCAGAGTTTAACTCCAGCTGGGCTGAAAAACAGCTACATAAGCTGGAAAAACATATTGGAGATTGGCTCGCAACAAACTGTATCAACACTCCCCTCCCTCTCACTGCCATTAAAATGTCTGTGCTCAGCACTTCTTTAGCAAGCAGGATTTCTGAATGGGAATAGCAGGTAGGTAGGTCAGGTCAGCATCTGTGAGCACATACTTGGTTTTTCTAAGTGCCAAGGCTACTAGTTAATCTGTAATTCTCTTCTGAAAATAAAAGATGTGACAATTGTTGAAAGTCTCAAGCTAACATACAAGTTCCAAGATGATCGCTGAACCTGCTTCAACCTTCTGAAAGCTGCAGAGTAGGAAAGTAGGGCAGGCTTTTTGCTTGTTAGCAACCTGGAGTCCAGCAGGCTTTCTACTAACTTGCACAGCTAGATGGGACTGATTTATTGCTTGGAAGTCACTGTAGCTTTATGTGCAAATAGCTTGGTCTTTGTTTGAGATAAATAATATGTTAGTAAACTTCCTAATGTGTGGAAACTATCATCCATGTACTGTGTTATTAGAGAAATCAAAATATTATATAAAGAATACTTTGATCTGAGCTGAGTTTAAACATCTCCTCTAGAGCTTGCTAAAAGCAACAAATCAAAAGATGTAGCCTGCTGGTCACACGCTTGGAATTTATTTATTTTCTGGGCCAGGATTTCTGTGTTGATCTTGGATAACCAGCCTTTTGCAGAGGCACAGAACAGTCAAGAGCTGCCTTTTCCACTGATCCATTGCTGTTTTCTCAGCAGGTAGGCTGTACCATCTGCTCCCAGAAATACGAGGGAGGAATAAGGTCCAGCCAGCCACCATGCCAAATACATTAAGAAGAGGGACATGCAATTGCCCTCTTGGGCAATTGAATTATGAAGCTTAGCACATGTAAGAATTAGCAGGTTTAGATGCTTTTCTTGCAGTGATTTTGAATAAAACATTTTGGATCTTCTTATGCACTCACATAGCAGTGCAGCAGTGATATGTGAACTAATGGTGATATTTTCCACATAAGCATGTCTGTGCACGGAGCCTTCTGTGTTGCAGCAGACTTTATTTTACATGTGTTATTTATTCCAGTGCCTAAACTCCAGCAGACCCTTCCAGAGAATCGGTTTGCATCAAATAAAGGTGACTCCATCTCAGCATCAGCAGAAAAAAATTCAAAAGCTGAACCAAAGGCAGAAGCTGGCGCAAAGGCAAGAAGTTCTTCCAACACACCAACCAGCCCAAAGCCTCCACTGCAGTCCACAAAGCCCAGCCTGGCAGGACGACCCACAGTGCCGCAGAAACCACGCTCTGCCTCTCGTACTGGTGAGGAGCTCTTCTGGGCAGCTGTTGCCCCCAGCTCTGGGTACTGCTGAGTGGTGTTTGTATGGGCTATGGAGGAGCCACCCATGGCCACATCCTGAACAGAAGTTAAATGTAGAGGGACAGGTTCTTCAGTCACTTGCTCTTGACTCGCATCCTTCTTTTCCACGTCCTTTTCCTTTATTTGATTAAACTGATTAAAATGGTTTGATCTCTAATCCTCAGTAGTAAAGTGTGAGAAGAAGCAATAGCAGTAGTGGCAGAGCTGTTTGAAATTAGTCCTCTTTCACAGAAGAGGTGAGCATAGGCAGCTGCTTCAGTATCACAGCCCTGTTGCAGTAGCACTGTCAAAAATATTTTGTCTAAACACCTGGGTCTAAATACTGAAGTCCTTGGGGTTTTGTGGCAGGCTACTCTTAGCCCCTCAAGCAAATGCCTGTTATTCTTAGTAACTTGCACAGACCAACTGTCTCTTACTGTCTTTTTGCTTGTTTTGCCTTTGTTTCTTTCCGTATTGCTTTAACTGGAAATAATTGTAACTGTGCTTTTATAATGTTGTAAGACTGTCAGTTAAATGACTATTCTGTCCTAACCCCCTGGCCAGATATTATCTCAAGGTTTCCAATAGTGGGCAATATTTCATCAAATCTCCCATACATTTGTCTGTCTGCTGTTTAATAAGCCAGTGTCACACCCTCCTCTTTCCAAAGTGCAGCAACTGCAGTGGAGGGGAATTAGAAGCCAGTTACTGACCCCCAGTTACTGACCCCCAGTAGCTATGGCAAATACACCTTATTAATGCTAACAAGTGAAAAATGTGAGCATGGCCATCTGTAAGAGCTTTCAGACCTCTTGGCTTTTCCCATACTCACTGTTGACCTTAGAAAGATGTAATTTGTGGTGAAGACAAGGGATCAGAGGGTGTTACAGACTCTTCCCTGCCCTTGATGTGTAACCTGAGCATTACTTAGTCTCTGCATTCCCACGGGCAGAATGTTGTGTAGATAGAGAATTATCTTGATGTTTTAGATGGATTTACATTTATTGATCATTTTAGAAGTGGTCATAAAAGTGAGAGGTGTCAAGTAAGATGCTTACAAGCATGAATACAAGAGGAAAGCATGGCATATTTGGTAGTGCTTAATCTGTAGAATAGGCAGTTTTGCATCAAAATCTTAGGTATCAGAAAGACCTGAGCTATCTGTTTCTGCCAGCTCCTTTTTCCTGCAGAGGGAGCATACTGTGGGTTTAACACAGAGAGTAATTAACGTTTACTTGTAATAGCCCCGCTCTTTGGGTGGCAGTAAAAGCAACACCATCTCTGTTGCAGTCTAACTGCTATCCTAGTACTTGTAGCAACCCACTGCCTAAGCATGCCCAGGCAATGTGATGGAGAAGCCAAGCAATCATCCTCTTTATGCTCTTGCTCCTGCTGTGGTTTCCAGCAGTGCAGCCAAACAAATTTTTGCAAAGTATTCTGGGGGCAAAGGAACACAGCTCAACTGTCCACAGATTGTCAAAGACTGAAAGTGGTTCCTCAATAAAGCACATAACTTCAGTTCAGAAAAATATAGCTGTGTTTGCTAATCACTCTGCTCATTCCTGTGTTGATACTGAGCTTCCCAAAGCAAGTGGCCTCACAGCATATCAAGTGCATGGAGAAGGTCCAAGAATTGGTGTATCTGTTCATATAGAGTTGCATTTGGAAGGTCATTGTTTTTCTGTGCTGAAAGTGAAAAGATTGACTCCTCAACAGGAGATAAATTCCTATTAATTTCTAGTATGCAACGGAATTAACTCGTTGTACAAATATGCAATACAGATGATACTCTGAGTTTCTTTGTCCTTCTGTCAATGCTAATGTATCTTCCTAGTTCCTTTGTTTGTGCCTATGCCCCTGTTTGCTCCCCGGGAAGCAAATGTACAAGGAGTTTAAGTAATTCACTGTAGCTGTACTTCCTTACTGTCCAAATGGAGGCTGTCTAGTGTAAGACTGAAAAGGCCTTTCTGAAAGAACTGCAAAGATGGTAGTCAACTTGCCATACATAATGCATATCCAGCCTTTCAGAGAAACAAGATATCCAGATGGTTCAAAGTGTGGATTTGAATTTAAGTTCCAGATTTCCTTGCAGTCCAGAAGATGAAGTATTTTTTCTATTTAGCAAATCTTTACAGATGCCCTCATGTAATGTACTGGGAATTTATTCCTGAAAGTAGAGAGATCTGTAGGCTATTTATGTAATTTGTTTCCCTGGTTCACTTCTATGCCTTATAACTGTGAAACAGGACATTTATACTGATCAGTTCATTATGTTTCAGGACAATAAAAATATAAATAGAACAACTATTTTAAAAAAAATCCAGCCAAAATTTTTTTCAGCTGTTCTTTACAAATTGCATATTTATGTGTTGCAGGAAGTTCAGTTGGTCCCATCAGATTTCTATTTGTGCTACAATAGCACAAATAAAATGCTGAAATTGAGGTCTTTGCTTTGACTGCTAAAATTCTTTCATCTGGACTGAGGGCCATCATGCATTCTCTTGGCATAATGTGAATTCCTGAATCCTTGTTTTTCTGACACAGATTCTAGCTGTTTCTTGTTTGTGTGTTGTGTTGAGGTTTGGCCCATCATAAACAGCACTGTTTCTGTGAGCTACAGCTCAAATGTGACTCCTCACCCTTTTGTTTGTGGTTCTCCATAGAGGATGCTCCAGAGTCTCCCTCCGGCCCCAGTTCACCAAAAGTTGCCCTACTTCCACCTGTGCTGAAGAAAGTTCCTTCTGATAAAGAAAAGGATGGTCAGAGCAGCCCCTCAGTCAGATCATTTTCTCAAGAAGGTAGGAGTGTTGGTATAGCTGTTGTTCATTCCAGCATGCCTGTCTTCTAATGGAATTTGATGTGTCATTGTCCCCTGATTTGTTCTTACTTGGAAGGGAAGAGGACTGTTCATTTGAAGGTGAAGAGAGCAAGAAAAGTGTATCTGGCCACCTCTTCCTCATGTCCTTCACCTACCTTCCTTTGATCAAGTGAAAGATGAATCCCTTGGTATTAATAATGTAACTGATCAATTAAGGGACTCTTGTGTATATTATGACTTAGTTTGGTCTGCACTAAGATGCTGGTTGATACTGGTTGCACACAATAGGGTGAAGTGCAACTCTGGTTCAGCACATTTCCAGGGGAGCAGCCATGACTTTGTTCCTTGCAGCAGCCTGTTGCTCTATTTGTACTCCTCCTTTCTGCAGGGTCACTATATGTGCCTGATTTCACCTCCTCTTTCTCAGGCAATGAGTCTCTAAGTGCCAGAGCAAGGTTTGGCACCTTTTATGCACAACAGTAGGCTGCTGTCTTTTCTTTGCTGATTTTCCTGTGTGCACTGGATTTATACTTTTACTGATGCATTTTCTTGCCCGCAGTTGGCTCTTAGAAGAGCTAAGCGTAGGATACCTGGAGAAGTAATCACAGAAATGTTACTCAGCATGGGACTAGCTGGCACAAGTGACAATGTTTGAAATCTGGGGGTGAGACCTCTCCCTTCGTGGGTCTCATCAAGAAAGACATCCAAGGTGATTCCCGTTGCTTAAGCTGTGAGACAAAGGGCTTCCCTTTCACACTCTGCCAGCAGATTTTCATAGTGTAGAATAGGGGCAGATGAGTCGAGGCAGCTCTGTAACACTGGGTTGTGAAAACTGAGAAGTTGTGCTGCTCACAGAGCCCAATGTCACCCTCTAGATGAGAGGAGGGGCAAAGACATCCCCAAAGCACCATGATCCAGGGGTATATTTTGAGAAGCTTCTCACATTCTCTCCTAAAACTGCTGTTTTCTTTATGAAACAACTTATTTCACAGTCTGGGTGTTGTGCTGCTTGGAAAATTGTTGCAGTGGTCACTGCCTTTCGGTGACCACATGTCAGCACATGTGAGGTATTTGTGTACAGGTTTTGGTACTCGTACCATTGGGCTGCTCTGGTGCCATAAAGGTAGCCCAGCAGAACCATCACAATCTCACTGAGTTGTGTAGAGCTGTCAGGGCACAACACACCCAAGGACCTCTCCTCTGTCTGGAAAGGGCTGAGTATTCAGATACCTGTGTTGCCAGAAGGACCAGGAGTCAGACACTGTGCTTTCTTACTCCTTGCTCCCTTAGACAGACCTCTCCAGACAATTTGGCCAAATGCAGGGTTTCCTAGTTGTTGCTACATTGTACTGTACAAATGTTATTAATAGTAGTGTAGAATGGCTGAAGTTGGGTTTCCAGGTCCTTAAAGAGCTGCTATGCTCTGCATAAAATTGCTTGGAAAAGAGCAAATTCTGTTTCTTTCATTTTTTATTCCTGTTCATGTTTTATTTTTTCTTCATTACTGTGCTGCTTCTTCTCACTCATTGCTCCGTCCTTGCTTTCTGCTGCCATTTAGGCAACTGGTAAATCACTGCAAGTTTGTCCAAGTTAGTAAATAAAATTATATCTCCTGTGAAACAAAGCTGCAAACTTGATGATACATGATAATAAAATTGCTTTATGTTAATGAGTTTAACTGTACTTTGTGGGGCAATGTCCAAATACAACTCTTTGCACTACATAGGTGTAAGATTGGGCTGCAGTTACCAACGTATGCAAATAGCTGGACTACATTTACATATTGATTACTACTCTGAACAATTGATTAAACAGAATGGATAAGTGAAGTTATTTATATAATTTCTGTGCGTGGGCCTGCAGGACAGCTTAAGGGTATAAATAAATCCTTTTCCTTGCTAGAGCAAACAGGAGATTGTCAGAAAAGAGATGCAGCTCATGACTGTGCCAAGCCATCTGGCAGTGTGAAAACCACTCCGGGGCAGTATTCTACCAGTGCAGAAGAGGAAGCTAATGTGCTTGGGCAGAGGAGGGCACAGCCAACTTCTGGTTAGAAGTTTTCATTTTTCATCAAGATGGTGCTTGATAACTGGCACTAACAATTGTTAAGAATCAGTAGTAGCAAAGAAGCCACAAAAGAGTGTGGGTTTATCATTGGGCTAAGAGAAACATAAAAATCTCATGGGATGCTAATCATCTCTCTGTCCCCATGGGAATTACATGGCATGAAAAAATTCCCAGATAAGAAATTAATGTGCATTTTTTCTTTGTGGCAACAGCAGCAGCCAGTACCATCTAGCACCTGCAGCCCCTCATTACGATCTGTGGCTGCTCAGTGCAGTGACACTGGCACACTGCTGTGTAAGCACTCTGCAGGTAGGCTGACTGCTGCTTTGTGTGCTCACACATCTGCCCTTTCTTTCTCACATGTGTGCACTTAAGTATTTCAGAATACATTTCAGCTTTGAATATTGTTAGTGCCAGTTTCAGGACATCAGTCACAAAACCATTTGAGAACTGGGTAAATCAGATTATTGTCACATAGTACTTTGATTTTCAGTTGCATAAGCAAACAAGAAAAACCCCCTGAAAGAATCCAAGCCCAGCACTGTGCTGCACACTTAAACTATGCTTCCTGAACAGCAGCTTAGCAGCTTTGATTTACAGTGAGCTCATTCAGTGAGCTATAATAATGTTTGGTTGCTCTATGTGTTTTTAAAATGTAAAAACTCCTGTTCTCAAATGGTACATGTTTACATGTTTCTCTTTATGTTTTAACTTGTTTGTTTGAACAATTGTTTTAAATGGCTTTTTTTTTTCTGAAGTATTTTCATTGGGTGTTTGAACATCTTGTGCAATTCCATTTACCCACAGTTTTTCTGTTTATAGGACATCACATATCCCTTTTGTAACATCCTCAGCCCTACATTTATAAACTGATTTCCTTTTCATATTGTAGAATCAAACTTAGTCCATCCAAACTTGGAATCTCCCCTCTCTATCATAATAAAGTTATTGTATTTTAGTCCATTCTAAGATACCTCTCTGATAAAGTGAGTTTTGAAAACTGAGATGCTGCCAGAGACCAATGCAGGTCACCTGTGTATGGTTTCATCGGGGCAAGGGTAAGCTCCTGTGGCAGAGCCTGCTAGCACTATGTGAACTTACATGTCTGATGTATTTTTCAGTCATTTTTGGGGCAAACTACCTAGATTTATCTGGCCTTAAACTGAAATGGCTGCTGCAGGATGTGTTTTGGGTTTTGTTTGAAGAGCGAATGAATGACCAAACAAAGGGCACATAATTACTAGGAGGTACAGGCCTCAAGAATGACTCCAAAATTTCCAGGCATCTATTTCTTTGAAAAGCAGTGGTGTTCTGGAAGGTGGAAATGCCTGAATGTTTTTGACAGGATTTAGCTATCTTAATCCTCTCCAATTCCATGAAATAGCTGTAAAAACCTTTCTCAAGATCCTTTCCTGTTTCCCAGCTCTCAAAGCCAGGATAAGAATACAGTGAGTGTGTAGCTGCTGGCTCTCATTTCCTCACATATTTTGGCTGGTGCAAATGAGGAAACACGTATTTTTGACTCAGGAGAACTATTTGGCTGCCTTAGCAGCTCAACAACATTGTCTCCCCCGAGATCTCTGTCTCTGCATTTCCCACATTCCTTGGCAGAACCTGACACGGCCTGGCACAATTAGAAATGGCCATGGAGATGCACCAGTGACAGCTTGCTGCGAGCCTGCCCCTGCTGTGACTGGAGCTGTGTGCTGGTGGCAGGGCAGGCTGTCCCTTGCTGTGGTGAGGCTATAGGTAAGAGGCACACAGGGATGGAGAGATGGTGCTTCATGGCCACTGTGGCTGTTGATACCTTGTCAAGAGAGAGGTTCACAAATGTCATGAGGCACAAGGATCGGTGCAAACCAAAGCCAGACACCCTTACCTGAAATGGTGGAGCAATGACTTGCAACAAAGTCACATTTAAGGGACATTATGTGTTTAAAGTTTTAAGTATGAGATTTCTAAAGCTCTCAATCCTTCTGTAGTCACCCCTGTTAATGTGTATAACCCTCTTGTTACCACAGCAGTTGCCAGGCCACTGATTAGATCACGAATCTTAACAAGGTTTTACAACCTTCTCTCCAAAGTATTTCAAAGTTTATAGCTTTGGAGAAAACCCTGGTTTTATGGAGCCTTTTAGAGTGCTGAGCAAACAAAATGGGTGCTGTTTCAGTTTCGATCTTGAGAAGTTGGGTATGTCTTCCTGCTTTCCCCACTCCCAGCAAGGGAGCAGAGTCCATGGTCTCATTTGGAAGACATGGAGGTTGGGCCATGGGTGTCCCTGCTATCAGGGCACAGATAGGGCATCAGGCTCTGGCACAGTAACAGTTCAGGGAGCTTGGATGCCAGGATGAATGTCTGTCCTAATCAAGGTGGCTGAGTCAAAAGGGACAATATAGATGTGTCCTGCTAGGGACACAGGCCTGCCTGGGATGTGTGCTGCTGGTCTGAGGGGTGCCCAGTGGGATATCCACCTGAGCAATCAGGAGTGCACTGTCTGAGATCCAGCCCAGCTGGAAAAAACAATGTTGTTCTGGTTTGGAAGTGGTGTGATGAGAAGAAAGTCTCCAGACTGTTTCTTAGCTAATATTTATCCATGTCACAGTGAAGTGCTAAGTGCCATATTTCAGGTTTGCCTGCTTGCCAAACAGCAGTGGAATAAAGTTTGCTCAAACTCTCTCTCTCTTCTCTCTCACCTTTTTCTGGCATGAAGAATTAATGGACCCATGCTACTCCCACTAGTGCAAATGAATTCAGTGGGAGCCAGAGCTGGTCCTCAGTACATGAATGACTTTTTTATTCTTAGTTTGTTTTTCTTCTTCTTCCTCTCTCTCATACAATTATTTGTAAGACCTATTTCTGTTTTATACAGCTGCAAAAAGAAGCCCTGGGCAACAGTCTCACGAGTTCCAGGAACTGAAGCAGAGGTCCTTAAGTAAAGATGGCCATCAGGGAAGCAAGTCCAGTGACTCTGGCGAAGAAGCAGATAAAGATTTTATTTTTGTTTAGCAATCAGTACAAGTGCTTCGTAGCGCAAGAGCTTTTTATAACAATTGGGGTTCAGCAATCAACAGCCCTTCTAGCCAGCTGCTCTTTGACCACAGGTACATTTCCACAGAGAAAACCTGATCTTCCAATCATGATTTACAGTACACTTGGCATTGATTCGGTCCTTAATTTCTGTTCTGTACAACGCAGACATTCCTTTCCATGCCTTTGCCTAAAGCCAGCCATTCTTTCATGTATTCTACTTGAATTTCTCTGAAGCAGCTACAAAGAGTGCCCTGCATTAGGGCATTTAGAAAGCAAAGCAAATTAACTGGACACTGTCTTACACTAATACACTGTACAGCAGGTAATGTGTTGTACTGCTGAATGTAAATGTGTCAGATCTGCACGTGACTTACCTATAAATATATTCTTGCGGTATGCAATTGCACATTGTAATTATATTAAAAGAGCACACTAATAAAATAATTTGTATAGATTATATATATTAAATGCTTGGGTATGGTTTTTACATTCTCCCATAGGGAGCTTCTTTCTTCCTGTTCTCCTACTGTACATAAAGCTCCAGTGCTTACATTTGTGTACCGTCAGAAAGCACAACAGAGAAGGATTTGGATGACATATAATCATGGTATGCTTCCACGTTCATATATTAATGTATATAGTTGATTGGAATGAGGGCAATTGAAATTTTATTAATATTGGTGTTTTCTAGAGGCCTTCCTCGGTTCTGTCTGCATATTAGCTTCCTTTCAATGTGTAATTCTATAGTTCAACATCTGTAAAAACATTTCAGCTTTTGAGGAAGGGGATGCAGATTTCACAGCTACCCACTTACATTACAGGTTGAAGGGATTTTATTCATATGTATATTTGTAACAATAAAAAAAAAAGATTTTACAACCAAAATACTAGTCTTTTTTTTTTTACAGCACTGTTCGTGGTCTGATGGTCGCTGCTCTTTGGATGCTGACATTGTGTCAGGTAGACAAGATGTGCAGTTAAAACAAAGCCCACATAAACTTTTTCTACTTTTAGTAAAGTGCCCGTTCGTGCTGAAAGGGACATGTACACATCATCTTCAGAAAACACCTGAAGGAAGATCTCGTTGCTAATCTCCTCCCTTGGGTTCTTCATGTGAGCCAGAAACACCTGCTATCTAAATTTTCAATTTTGGTCCAATAGGACAGAAAAAAAATCTTTTGGTAACTCTCTCCCAAGAGCAATTTGCCTGGCTCTGCTGTGGCATCTTGACTAGACATAATTGCTCAGATACCTGCCTGTCAGATGACCTGTCTGATCCCTGTGCATGTATCTGCCACTTCTCCTATTGCAGTATAAAGGATTGCCAAGTCAAACCAGAACATCTGAGAAGCACTTTGTAGAGATTTACCTCTCAAAAGTGGGCTACAAGGCTGTGGGAAAGAGGTCCTGAAGGCTGGGGGTGTATTCCTGGGGTTTGCACTGTTTTGAAAGTCTGCATTCATCTAAAATCATTAAGATATAGTTCTTTGTATTCATATACATATATTCTTGATTTATTTGGCATGGTGAGAACAGAAGACAAATTGCAAAGAAAGAATTGAAATACTTACATTAGAAATGAAAGTTAATCCAGTCATAAATAAACTGCAATTTTTATTCTCATAGGACATGGAAAAGACAACTGTCTGAGAAGTTGTAAGCATGCAAGAAGGCTGCCCTATTTATTGGGTTTGTGAATTTAAGAAAATTAACAGCAGAGTTTGTGGTATTAAGGCACAAATTTCAAATGGTCTCTAACTTCCAGAGAAGTTAGTTGCTGAGAATTTCTTACTTGTGCTCATTCAGTCATCTGAGATACTGTACTGGTCCTGTTGTGAGAAATCATGGCAATAGTTTGTGTCCATCACACTGATATCAGCAAAAACAGAGATGTCTCAAATGCTGTAGACAAAGTGTGTGTTTGTGCTGTTAAGAAGAAAAGCTATAGTCCTGTAACACTTGTTTGCTGGAGTATAAGGATTTCATTAGACAGCAATGGTTTTCCATATTACTTATGGAAAGCCACAGTCTTTATTCCAGCCATGAGTGTGTTGTGGGCAGGCTGAGTGGTGGAGAAACAACTTTAGGGGAGTGCTAGTGGGGAGCTCTCAAAGACCTGGGGTTTGTTTTGAGGGGGGTGTGGCTTTGACTGTGGGGAGAAGTGATGATTTTCATTTCTTTGCTATCTTTTCTGCCTGGCATGCCCAGTACTATCAGCCTGACTGCAAAGAACTCACTTTGCATCTGCTTGTACCTCTCCTACATGGTTCCAAGCCAAGCTGGTTGGGAGGTTTGGGGGGTGTCACAGCTCCATGGGGCAGGTAAGGTGTTGTCTTTGCCTGAGGCAAGCAGGTGCCTGGCTGTGGGGACCCTCCTCATTTCTCTCGCTGCTTCCCTGCTCCCTGAGCCACTCTGGTCATCTGTGCTCCCTGCCTGCCCCAGGCTGTGTGCTACCCTGGGAGAGGGTTCAGCTGCTTTGGTAGGATGCCAATGGCAGAGAACCCTGGAGCTCCTGATGGGCTGAATAGAGAGATCAACTAGTGGTACCACTGAAGAAAAGCTACTACGGGTTCTTCCAGGGTATCCATAGCATCTTTGAGTACCAACAATGCTCTGTGTTCCCCCATCACATATCAGGTGCTGCCTGAGCACCTCCAGCCATGCCATCAGTGGTGGGAGCAGAGTTTGGCATGGGAAGAGAGGTGCCTTGCTCTCAGGCATGCTGCCAGCCTTCCTTTTGCAGCTGAGGGTGTCTCTGCAGTGCTGTGCTGTGCAGTCTGGGCACACAGAAAGGGCTCACACGGTCCAGCTGGGGTTATGTCTCACACAATGGCTTGGCCCCTGGGCCACGGCTGGTGTGAGGCAAGACAGCAGCTCCATGTTGCATTCACCATGTTTAGGGATGACAGTGAAAGGGCAGCCGCATCTGAGGTGACAGCAAGATCTTCTGCTTCCCCCATGCACGTAAGTGTGCACACAGTGTGACCAAATGAGAGGGAAGGACCAGCAGCCCTGGTCACCCAGTTAGAAATGCTGCCCTGGAAGGGGTCCTAGCACCAGCATCTCCATTCAGAGCTTCATCTACCTGACCCACCCTTTGGAAAAGGGCAAGAAGCTCTCTGGGAAGGAACTGCCCTGCTCTTTTTCTGCTCCTGAATCTGGTTTTCAGGTTTTACTGCCGAGGAATTTCACTCATGATGTACGTAGTGGGGGTGCCTCCCTTTCTGAGAGACACTGGAGAAGGACTGTGGCTGCCTGCCAGGCTCCAGCATGAACTCAGACAGCTCCGTACCACATCTGCAGGATGTACTTCCCACTCCCTGCTAAAGGACTTTAAAATCTGATAGATTTTTGAGCTTTTTTAAGTATTCCCTGATGTGCAGTAACAGCAGTAAATAGCTGCTTCCTAAGATGGAAAGAGCAATCATCTTAAATCTTCTCCTCTGCCAGAGCCAGCCAGCCAGGCTGAGATGATTTGGGAATTAATATAGGCCCATTAGTCACAAATCTGCATAACCCACTGCCCATAACTGAGAACTGCCATTGGCATGAGCTCTCACTGCCACTCCTTATTAATTGATTAATGTGGAGATGATTTCTCTCTCCTGTTGCATAGATAAAAAGGTACTGAGAATCATTTTCAAGAAAATACCAGAAAGCTCTGCACCTGTTTGGAATGCATGAGAGCTGTGCTGATTTCCCCATGCCCAGGGATGCTAATGCTGAGTGGGCTGTGGCCTGAATCCCACCTCTGGAAATTATCCTCTGCTTGTGCTGAAGCTCGGGGAAGGTTTCAGGTAATAACACTGTCCTTTGCTTCTGCTGGAACCATGGCCCAGAGGATCTCAGAACACAGTGTGGGTGAGTAACAGCAATTATCACGTAATGCTGGACTCCTGCTGATCAGACCTGGAAAGCAGAGCTGTTTTTCTCCATCCTAAGAGTCTGTAAATAGGGAGGATGCAAATTGCTACATAAACACATGGTGATGACCTTCTCTTTCCTTCTAATGTAGGAGCTCACAAAACCAAGCTGTCTGAATCGTTCCCTCTCAATGCCTTCAGCCCTTGGCCTGTGAGACCTTTCCATAGCTCCAGGCAGGCAGTTGGTGAGCCAGTGCCCAGGGCCTCTCTGCCCAGCCAAAGCCCTTTTAACTCCTTGGCATGACCCAGTGGTGTTGCCAGTGAGTCTCTCAAAGGTTACAAACTGCCCACTGGATAATTAAAATGCCCTCAGTTTGTCACATAAACAACGTGTTCTGCTAAAGAGAGGAAAGTGCAGCCTTGGGCTGACCTCCACCTCCCCATCCTGGATATAAAGCATCATAGGAAGATCTGCCAGGCACCTGCACAGCTTTCCTACTTAACCCTGTGCCCATCCTTCTGCAGTCCTTCATGCCTCTTCCCAACATGAGCATCTCAACAGCACCTTAGTAATTGTCTCTAGAGCCACCTGAGCCTCCCTTCTCTAGTGTCCAACATTTCCAATGCCTTCATGACCACAGGCAGGACAGGACCTCACAGCACCTGGGGTGTCTTCCCAGGAAACAGAGAGGGGTGTGTTCATTTTTGGTTGAAAGCAGTGTCACAAAAGAGCCAGGACTGCCTGGCCCTCAGGCTACGATGGCACCTTGTTTCTGCAGGTATAGGCAGCTTAAAATGCTGTCCTGATCATTGCACATGAAAATCTTCTTTTCCTTCCCAGAAACTGAGTTTTCTTGGATTCTGAAGGGCAGTTTTCCAGACTTGAGGATTTGTTGGCAGCGTTGAGACTTCAGTGGATTTGGGCATGGAACTCCTGCCATCTCATGTGCCCCATTCTGATCCCTTGAGACACAGAAATGGATGTAAAACTGTCTAGAGCACCTCAGCTGAAGGCACTGGGGCTGCAGGCTTGTCCTCATGGGGATACTCCATATTCTGGCATGTAGCTGGGCTGTAATAAGAGCAGAAGGGCTGTAGAGTGACAAAGGCTCCTAGAGTCAGTGGTTTGGTTTAGTCATTTACTTTGGCTATTTATTTATTTATTTGGTGATGAAGAATTGCTGAAAGGCTAAACACTCCTGGGCTGCTCTGAGAGGGGGAGATGAATGGGGCCACCTTCA